TGTGGTTCTATCCAATGGCTACAAAATCTGGGGTGTCTACAATTTTTTCTCACTTCAAAAAATTTGTAGAAACACGCTTCCAATCCAAAATCAAAAACCTGTACTCTGATAATGGTGGAGAATTCATTGCCTTAAAATCATTTTTATTGCTTCATGGTATTGGTCACTATACCACCGTCCCGCATACCCCACAACAAAATGGTGTTTCCGAGCGTCATCACCGTCATCTCGTCGAAACAGGTCTCACCTTGCTTCATGATGCATCACTACCACTTTCATATTGGCCTCGCGCTTTCCAAACAGCTGCCTATCTAATCAATAGGCAATCCTCACCTCTTCTTCAAAATATTTCTCCTTTTGGTCAAAAACCGAATTACCTCAAATTACGAAAATTTTGATGTCTTTGTTACCCACTTACCCGATTGTACAACACTCATAAAATGCAATCCAAATCAACCCCATGTGTATTTCTCGGTTACTCTCAAACCCAAAGTGCATACAAATGTCTTGACATCAAAACCCACAAGATGTACATTTCTCGGCATGTGTTGTTCGATGAATCAAATACCCCCACCCTGTCTTTCACAATCCCAAAAAGTCAAATACCAGAAAACACCCATGTTCCTTTGCTCTTTGATGCCCAGGTCGTGCATATGCCTTCATCAACGCCATCTGCACTGATGCCCTCATCAACGACTCCGGAAGGTGAAGGCGCCGTCGACGCATCCTCCTTAGGTAATCTCGTTAATCCTCTCTCTTCTTCTGAATATCTAGGAGATGACTCCATGCACTTGAATTCTTCATCTCCTAGCTTTTGTCCAAATACTTGTTTGCACGATTCAAACTCATTGGTTCCATCAATTTCTTATCCCTCCCATGTCGTACAAACTCTAGAACAGTTTGAAACCTCATGAAACCCGATTGCCAAAAAACCATCCGACTCATCTATTCAACGACTTCACCAAATGACAACCCGTTCTATGAACAAAATTTTTAAACCCAAACAACTAAATTTCGTTTCTAAACATCCTCTCCCTAGGACCATTGAACCAACCTGTGTGAGTCAGGCTTTATCTCAACCACAATGGGGTGATGCTATGTCAAATGAACGTACAGCTCTTATGAAACATGGAACTTGGGACTTAGTGCCAATCCCTTCCAATTGTAATCCGGTGGGTTGCAAGTAGGTGTTCAGGGTGAAGAGAAAGTTTGATGGATCAATAGATAAATTCAAAGCTCGTTTAGTTGCAAAGGGTTATAATCAACGTCCCGAGCTTGATTACAAAGAGACCTTTAGCCCAGTAGTTAAACCAGCTACACTTCGAACAGTTTTGTCAACTGCTGTTGTGAATGGTTGGGAGTTAAGGCAAATGGATGTTAATAATGCCTTTTTACATGGTGCATTATCTGAAACTGTATATATGATGCAACCCCCGGGGTTCAAAGATCCATATAAACCCAATCATGTTGTAGACTACAAAAAGCAGTATATGGACTTAAACAAGCCCCTCGAGCTTGGTACACTACGCTAAAAAATGTTCTACTTGAGCTTGAGTTTGAAAATTCCAAAGCTGATTCATCCTTATTTATTTATAGAAAGGACTCTATCATATGTTATTTCTTGGTATATGTCGATGATCTTGTGATTACAGGAAATAACAAAAACTTTGTGGTCTCAATTATCAAGAAACTAGGAGATCGTTTTTCTCTTAAGGGTATAGGTCTACTTCATTTCTTCCTAGGTGTGGAAGTTGTACCCACTCGGGCATGCCTCTTTCTATCACAACACAAGTACATTCGAGAGCTATTGTCAAATAATAACATGAGTGGCGCCAAAGATGTCTCAACTCCACTTTCAACAACTCAATCTCTCAAGATAGTTGATGGTACAGCAAATGTGGACAGCACAGAATTTAGAAGAATTATTGGCAGCCTGCAGTATATTTCTTTGACGCGTCCAGATATTTCATTTGCGGTCAACAAATTGTCACAATTCATGCACAAGCCTACCACCACTCACTTGACAACAACAAAAAGGCTTCTTCAGTACTTGAAGCAAACCATTTTCCATGGTATACAACTCACAAAATCTGGACCTCCAGCTTTAACAACATACTCCGATGCAGATTGGGTTGGAAATGTTGATGACCGAACATCCACATCTACGTATATAAGCTTCTTAGGCCCAAACCCCATTTCATGGAGTTCAAAGAAACAAAGAGCAGTTGCAAGATCTACCACCGAAGTTGAATACTGAGCCCTTGCAAATGCAGCATCCGAAACAATGTCGTTGCTTGGTCTCTTTCAAGAACTGGGTTTTCCACTAAAAGCAGCCCCATTATTACTGTGTGATAATCTTGTTGCCATGCACCTAAGCTTCAATCAGATCCAACATTCACGAATGAAACATATACAAATTGATCTCCATTTCGTGCGTGATCTTGTTCAACGTGGCTTTCTTCAAGTTCAACATGCTCATACACAAGATCAATTGGTTGACCTGTTGACAAAACCATTATCGAGACAAAGGATAGAAATCTTGAGAAACAAGATTGGGCTTGCTGATGGAAGCTCAATCTTGCGGGGCGTATAAAGACAGATTGCAAGAATCAAGGCCAAGACAAAGCATAACACATTTAGCCTATAATCAAGCAAGATCAGCCAAAATCAACTCTGCATAATTCTGTAATTGCTGCATTAACTCTTACAAATCTGTAATTGATACATAATTTTAGCCTAACTGATGTAAATTGTAGTAGATAGTTTTTCCTAGCTGTGTATATAAGTCAGCTCTTATTTCATCAATAATGTATGTGAAATTCTTCATTGAAAATACAAGAAATCTGTTTTCACTATAAATTCCTCCAATTGAGATTATGTCTAAAAATATGAATTATTCGATTGGAGTTGGAAGTTTGGAAATTGCTACACAAAGTTTACAATAAGAAATAATCACTTGTGACAATTTAAAACAGTCTGGAAACAATATAAGCCTTTTTTTTTTTGAATATTACACATTGGAAAGTGCAGTGGTCAATGTATTTTATTTATTTATTTATTTTTTTTCCCTCTGTTAAGAAATCGCACTTTAGTTCTTTAACTGGCATGTGTGTTTAAGGGTTTCTTGGTTGACAAAAAATTTAATTTTCAAGAATTCAAATGTTCACATTCTGAATTTTCAACGTCTATTAAACCTCGAGAAATTATGGCGTACACAAAAATGAAAAGGATTGGGATTCCACAATATCATTATCACTATATGTTTAGGTATGTATGATGTGAAATAAGAATTTAATTTGGGATTTTGTTTCTAAATGTTGTTGGCTTTATACCTTTGCACCATGGAACACTTCGGCCCCACAAAAAAATTTCAATTTTATGGAACTTGAATTTCAAGAGGATGGAAATTGTCAACTTCGACATTATCAGTCAAAATATTTTGTTACCCCGCTCCCGAAACCCACTGAACCTCCATCTTAGGCGGGTTGTTAACGGTTTGGAGAGAGCGATGGGTTGGGTCATGAAAAGTGGGGTCATGGTAAAATTCCAGATGGACGAGGAAAGGACAAAACTTGGTAATAGTGAGATATAAGGGATGGGGAAGCATATGAGGATGCGTGGAATTTTATAACTATGCTTAACATCACGTGACTTTATTAATCACCTGATTAAAATAAATTATCCTTTGCAAATGAAAATTAAAAAGGTTAAACAACAAAATTGGTGTTGATGCAATCGTCGTTGTAACATTACACTATTAATTTTGAGTAAGCTAATGTTAAGAATTTTTGTTTTCTTTATTCGACCTTTTGACATCAAAGTAAATAAAATTTCACTACTAGAGGCAACTCTTGTTTTCTAACCTGTTGGGACACATTCCGCGATTAACCTCTTTCACAATGCTCCAAGGATGGAACGGTGAGGGACCCTTAAAGTTGGGGTTCAACCTTTAAATAAAATTTCACTACTACAAAAATGCAGAAAGGACTCTAGAGAAAAAGTTTATGATTCTTGAATGTCCGGCGGCTGTCTGTCTGAATTCGTCAAAAATCTCAAATCAATAGCATTTACAAAATTTCTTTGTCGGGTTATTGTTTTTTCCCCCTTTCTTGCTTTCCAAAAGACGTAATTTTCAGTGGAAAATGGGCCACGAGAAGTACGCACCTCGTGTCGCCTAAGAGATCATTCGGAGGATGTTTCCAATGAATTATCATATGACCAGTACACTTGTAGAGAGAGAACAAGTAGGATTTTTTTTATTATTAATTATTATTTTTTTCCATATTAAACCGAGTCAAATGCCACTTCGAGTCAAAATTTCATACTTAAATTAGCATTCCATGTAACTTTCCAAATCATAAAAATTAAATAAAAATAGGTATTTTGAAAAGTCTAATACAGTGACTAAGTATGGATCATTTCTATTAAACATGTATGTGTTATCTCTATATATCGTTCTCTTCATTTTGGTGAAAGACAGGCTCCACTACTAAAGATGACAAATTATTATTTTCTTCCTTTGTTTAGAGTATTTATGTGCAAAAATTAAGAATTAAACATATAATGAAGTTCCAATAAAACATGTTGGCTACGGGATCGGGCCGAGGCTACTACCATAGACCCCTTTTTTCCCCATAAATTTAGTTTCACCATATATATTGCACAGCAAAATTTTCGAATTGAGTCGAGCAGAATTTAGGTAATTGTACTCTAACAAGTATTAAAAGCGAAAAAAATCCCAAAAGAATATAATAATAAACGTGTTGGAAGTATTGAACGCTCAAACTTAATAAGCCTAGAGAGTCAAATCATTCAAACCTTTTTACTCTTTTCCTCCGTCTTTTCAAAACAACTACCGGGTATGATCCTAAGGACCAGCGTTCATCCACACAAACTTCAATCTATTCAAAAATCTGACGTAAATTGGTCTAAGTCTTCGCAAATCTCATCTGTATAAATACATCATGTACCGTAGCAAAGTTCCTACCTTAAACTATTCGATCCCCACAAATTAATAAAGCATCCTTGTCATAACGACATGCAAAGATCTCCCACAGCCCGTTACATTGGCAATCAGATCCTTCGCAACCAAACTCACATCAAAACAAATCTTCATCAACGGCCACCGTGTGATGTGTTCATCAACCACAGAGGAATCGACACGAAAAGGAATGTAGCCGGGCTGCTTAACGATCACCTCAGGCGGCTCGGGTTCAGGCCTTTCTTGGACTGCAAAAACATGAAACCTGGGGACAAATTGTTCCATAATATTGACATTGCAATACATAAATGTAAGGTTGGGGTTGCCGTGTTTTCTCCCCAATACTGTGACTCTTATTTTTGTCTACATGAGTTGGCACTTATGATGGAGAGCAAAAAGAAGGTTATACCAATTTTTTGTGATGTAAAACCCTCTGAACTTCTGGTTAAAGATGATGGGATTTGTCCAACTAAGGATTTGGACAGGTTTCAATTGGCTCTTGAAGAGGCAAAGTACACAGTTGGATTGACATTCGACACATCGAGAGGGTAAAAAGTTATAACTTCATCGTAAATAATTTTCTTAATCGATTAATACCTAGCCTTTAATCAACAGTTTTTAATACCGTCTAATAGCACACATGGAAATACCCTAAGAATCTAATATCGAGTTTTTATGAATATTTTTGGATTAAATTCTAATTGACGCTGTAATTTGATAATGTGAATTCAGGGATTGGCCGGAATTTCTGGACAGTGCTTCAGATGCAGTCATCAAGAACTTGCTCGAAGTAGAAAAGGAGAAATGCTTCTTGCTGAAGAAGAAGAAAGATTATTTTATTTAATTTCTTTCTAACGCATTCATTATTCTTTTATAAATATGTTCTCAAAATTCAAATTGTTTTATTTGTACTATATTTGCAAATATTGTATTATTCAAGCAGCTAAGAAAAGGAAATAAGGGTTCTCAGTGGTGATCACAATTATTAAACTGTAATGATCGATCATTAATTGTTTTATTTTTCAGCACATGTTCTGGAATTTCCATTTTTATCATTCTTTTGGTTAAAAAACATCAGATACAACGCTACGAGACCACATCTATTGTCGATTATTTATTAGGCAACGCAAAGAGAAAAAACCATCAAGTTAGATGTTCAAGATGCAAACAGTGCAAATATGATAAACCCTTCTGACTAGCACTTGGATATATATACAAAAATAATTAAAATGCAATGTATTTTGATAAGTGCATTTTGGGCACTTATTCGAACTATATTATTAGGCTTTTATATCGTCAAATTATAGAATTTTGCTTAATTTGGGTTAATTTTATATTGTTTCGATTATGGACTCATTTCTAAGAAATTGAGAAGGAAGAAGGCCATGATCGAATTAAATCCATAATTTATGGATCAAATTCCACAAGTCAGAATTCGAGAAGGATATTGATTGTACAAATAAAAGGATTCAGGGGCTGAATTTTTTTATTTTATAAGATTGAGGATTTGAAGAAAAATATAGCATTAATGGAATTCAACTTGGAATTGCATTTGGAATCAAATTCAATTGGCATTTTGGATTAATTAAAAATAACAGAAGGCTGCTATTGGAATTATTATTATAAAATAAAAGGTACCAACAATTGGAAGGCCAGAAATTGAATACATATATGAAGGCGCACACTCGAGTGGACAGGGGGAAAAGAAGCGTAGGTGCTTTTTTGTTGAGGGGGAGGGTTGGGGAAGGGAAACGCACAGAAGAGACGGCGGAGGTACAAAGAAAAAGAAGAACAAGAAGAAATGGCAAAAGTTGCCGGCAAAAATTGGAAGAGAGAGACAAAAAATGTTGTATCCATAAATCATTTCATACTGAACTTATCTAGACTTATCTATTGGACGTGGCTTGGATGAGGCCCTTAAGCTCACCAAGTCCACCAGACCCATCTCCATTTTGATTCCCTTTTATTTTTAGGTATGTTCACAACTTTAGCTAATTCCCCCTTCTTGACTCTTGCACTCTTCTTATATTTTGTTTGATCGTTGACTTGATCGTCGGAATGCAAATAGTTGCGGGCCTCGGACCTTTTTCTTGATTGGTGGTCTTTGCTTCCTAATGAGGTATTCCTGTGCAGGTGTGGAGAGGGCGAGATCGGGAATCAGAGAATTTTTTGGATCAACAGATTGGCCCCGTTTGTGAAAAACAGTACATTAACCATGTTATAAGACAAAAAGAGAGAGAGAGAGAGAGAGAGAGGCCATTGAAAAAGAGGATTTTTTTAAGCAGTTTACTGAAATTTACCAAAGATCGGAAGAAAGGGATTTTCTGACGACGGTACATGCCATGAAATGCCAGCTGATTTGAAAAAGAATGTTTGCTTGGTGGAATAAAATGCCATCAAGTATCTTCCTCTCAAGAGATAGCTATTGGAAATATAAGAAGCCAAACACAAGCATTCTACCTCTAACCACTGTTGGGAAATTTTAAGCCAATTTCCTTTATTTCTATTTACCCGCATGATCTTTTATTTTTTAAAAGAATATTAGCAAACAAGAAAAATAAAGAATAAAATGTACAAATTAAATGGACCGTCAAAACTTTTCACTATATGAAAGAATTTCACTCACCAACCCAATCTCCAAGTATTATAAAGAAAAAAAATAAACCCGAACTTTACCACGTCTATTTTTCTACCCTTTGTACGATAAGTCTCAAAATGCTAAGTTCAAAATATTTTCCTTTCAAATAAACTCTCTGGCCACACCCAAAATAATGAAATACATCCACTATTTATAGGATCAATGACCAAGTAGTATATTTTAATTTAAACTCAAACAAAACTCATTTAACTCAATAATGATTCTTTCGTGTGCAAAACTCCAAAATCGACTGTAAATTGGAGAACAAATTTTTCAAAGATTTTGCTCTCAACTTTAATTAAAAATCTTTCATACAATAACTACCTTTTATTATTTAAAATAGAAGTCTTCCAACTTTTGACATTTGGGGCAATTACCCAACACCTACTAGGTTTTGAAAAACAAAAACCACCATTTTTCACAATTTCTTACAACGAGAAACATCTTCTTCTCAACATGTTGTTTTCCCTCCACATCTAGGTTCATCATCAAACTCCAGATTTCTAGTCTAATGAATCAAAAAACCCAACAATAGCAACAATAATTTCCTCAACAAATAACCCACTGAAGTCCAATGAGACCACAAATTGGGTTCTAAGTGTTACAAGTAGGATGTTACTGACTTATATCTACTTGATGTGAAATAATTTTGCTTGAGTAATTATGGAGCTTGGATGGAAGAGGTCAAGAGTGTAAAGATTTCTTCTAGTTTGTATTGTGTTGTGAAATATAACGTTGCCCCCAACTGCTTGATGAAAAGCTTCGGTCAAAATTTAGCCTCCAACTAGTGTCATTGGTCTGTTGAGGTAGCAATTGGCACCATTTTAAATCTTTGGTGAACCGTAGAGATCGCTATCGTAGACGTGGCCACTGATGACGACCATCGAGGTAAATCAAAGGAACATACCAACAACTAATACCCATGACCTTCTGTAAAGGCAAACACCATTGGCACCCCATAATACTGCAGTGACCGACGATTCCAATTGTACTTAACATTAATTTTGATGGAGACCCGACTTAGCGATAGCGTATTCTTTCAACCGGCCTATCCATTTTAGCTTTCTACAGACTGTTGTTGGCATAGTTAACACAATAATGCTCTGAGTACAGGGTATTATCCATACAGTAAGGCCCATCATTGTAGAGGACAGATCGGTGGGTCCGACCTGCATTAAAAAAAAAACGAGCAAGCCTCGCCCCTTGTGTTTGTCGTGGCAGAGGCCTGGTCTTTGTCCTGTACGTGAGGCATGGTTCTAGGTAACATGTGCTTTTGCAGAATAGTGCGTGCTTACATTAATTTTGCTTGTTTTTCTCTCTAATTCAAATCTCTCAACATATTGGGCTGGGACATCCCATTTATTACATAAGACTTTGGCCCAATGAAGTCATATTTTTGGGTTTACACTATTCTGCCAATTAGATACTTTTATATACTAGCACAAGTTCCTTTTATTGTGCCACTTATAAACACTCATTTTTATTGGGCTCCATTTTTTCTTGGGCTTCCCTTAGCAAGTTATTGTCAGCTATTCTCGCATCACTCTTGGGTTGCTAATTGCATCACCATGCATCTCTAAAGCTTGCACTCTATTTTTCTATCTAAAATTAGAAGCACATGGGTGGCCCAAAGAATTAGGGGTATATTACTGTAGATCCTTGTTGTTAAGCAAATGAATTTTTTGATATTCTTGTGGTTATACAGTTAATCATTTTCAGTAGTTTCTATCCACAATTAAGATTTTTGCTACTGATGATTATGCTTATATTATTCATGGCCATCACTTCTAGAAACCCGAAAGGAAAACAAAGAATTGGTCATTTTGAAATATAATAATAGAGGTCGGTAATTGCTCTCTGCTATATATTTGAGGATTCTCATCTTCACGCCTGGGTAGTGGAAAAAGTGGTCGAAATTCTAACAATGAGGTGAGGGGGCTTGACTTATTGGCCTAAATTCTTTATTCTCTTGTCTTTGCATCCAAAGACTTGCCAATGATACATCTAGCATAAGTTTTAAAAGAAAATATGCAAATTATACTTCAATTGTCATCTTTACTAAAATCTCAAGGCCACATATTAAAGTTTGGGCAGAAAATTCAAAATCACAACTATGCACACCAAGTGTTCAACAAAATGCTTAGCTCGGATCTCTCTTATTAGAAGGCCATTTTTTTTAAATCATCATCACCATTATTTGAGACAAGCTCCTAGACCTCGCATGTCCGAGCATAGCTTGTAAGACATCGCATATTTTAAGGTGAACCCTAACACGTGGATTTCTTTTTATTAAAGACAGCAACTTGGCGTTCTCATTCCTTGTATAAAGGAAAAGACGATATCTTATAAGTCATCCTTCCTTGAATAAGGAAGAGGTGGTATTTTATAATTCCTCATTCTTTGAATAAAAGAAGAGGAGGTACCTTGACGTCCTCGTTCCTTTATAAAGGAAGATGTGGTATTTTATAAGTCCTCATTCCTTGAATAAAAGGAAGAGGTGTTACCTTGAAATTCTCATTCTTTGAATAAAGGAGGAGAAGGTATTTTACAAGCCCTCGTTTCTTGAATAAAGGAAGAGACGGTATTTTATAAGTCTTCGTTCCTGGAAAAAAGAAAAGAGGCAAATGTTCAGACCTGTTAGCCCTTGCAAAAGGAGCCTTTCCTGACCTCCTTTGAGAGATGTTTATTCCTCGCCTCTCACTATCGTCGAGTTTAGCTATAAGACCTCATCTATCCGAGACCGCTTATAGGACTCCGATAGTTTTAGAGTTATTCGCGAGATGTTTATTCCCCCTCGCTAGATGCTTATCTCTGGCTTCGCGAGATACTTATTCCTTGCCTCTCACTATTGTTGAGTTTAGCTGTAAGACCTCGTTATTTCTAGGCCACTTATAAGACTCCGATAGTTCGAAAACTATTCGCGGGATGTCCATTCCTGCCTCGCCGGATGTTTATTCCTGGCTTTACGAGATGTTTATTTCTCGCCTTTCACTATTGTTGGGTTTAGCCGTAAGACTATCCGATGCCGCTTATAAGTCTCCGATAGTTCGAAAGCTATTCGCGAGATGTCTATTCCTCACCTCGCCAAATATTTATTTCTGGCTTTGCGAGATGTTTATTCCTCAGCTTTCACTATCATCGAGTTTAGCCATATAACCTCATATATCCGAGGCTACTTATAAGACTCCGATAGTTCGAAAGCTATCCACGGGATGTCCATTTCCCGCCTCGCCAAATACTTATCCTTGGCTTCGCAATATGCTTATTCCTTGCCTCTCACTATTGTTGAGTTTAACTGTAAGACCTTGTTATTCCGAGG